GCGGCCCGAGTTCTCGGTTTGGGCGCGCTGCCCGTCGGACAACTATGACAAGATTCCAGAACCGTCAAAAAACAGTCTGGGGACGATGTTTTGAGCATCGTCTGCCAACTTTTCGGCATATGTGTTGCCCTGCTTTTTATTGTGCGTCCATCCCCCTGCAGGAGGACATGCGGGACCTGATGCTCGCACAGCGCCGATTGTTCAAATCGGGCATGTCCCTCTACAGGAGGAGTGTTCAAAGATGACTCGCGCTTCTGACTCTTCTGCTCTTCGACAGGAGGAGTGCTCAAAAAGACCCCTGGGGGCGATTTCTCGTGCTCTTCTGACTCTTCTTGATTATGATTTGGCTACGTTCCATTGTTCTTCCATAATCCGCCTGCAGGAGGACATGCCCGACCTAAGCCTACTCACAATCGTCGTCAGGTACGAGGGTTGTTCGATGCAGTGGAGCCTGTTTGCGTCGACGCAATGGATGCAGGCCATTTGCGAGCAGCTACTTTTGCGAGTAGTGGGACGCGCTTGTCTGATGTTGCCTGGCGCAGGAGGACCGTTCACGCTGGTCGTTGAAAGAGAGCATGTCTAGATGCCCAGATCCCAATATACTTCAAGCGCCTTCCTGTTTCAAGAACCGATGTGCTTCTGCTGTGTCCTGTTACTCTCTGGGAGGGCCTGAACCCAATCTACTTGGTCCGCCTTCCTAATTCATGCTTTTACCTACTGTATTCCTTCCGACCGACGCGTATGGGTTTGGGCGAGTCATTGTGGGGGGGGGGGGGAAGTGGGAGAAGTAGAGGGGCACATGTTCGGCGGCGAGCGAGGGGGGGAAGTCAGAAGGAGAAGGCCTTCTCACAAGGCGGCGGGACTTCTCAGAAGCCCTCGCGCCTTCTGAGAAGTTCTCTGCGTCTCTTGCGGGAAGGCCCACAAAACTCTTCAGAAGGCTGGGGGACTTCCGAGCCTTCTGCGAAGGCCCACCCCGTCTCATTTCCCCCCCGCGCTCGCCGCCAACATGTTGTTGGATCAGGTCCGGCGGGCGCACGGGGCAGCCCGAACGTTTTTTTATCTCGGCAGGGCCGCCTCTGGCACAGGGCGCGCAGCAGTGTCGAGAGGCCGCTCGTCAGACCTCTGACAGGCAAGGTCGCCCAGAGACGCGGACGAAGCGCGCGAGGAGGAGGGACAGGAAGAGATGGTGTGAGGAAGAGAGAGAGAGAGAGAGTGAGAGAGAGAGAGAGAGACGGAGAGAGCGAGAGAGAGAGAGAGCGCAAAAAAATGGTCCTTAGGGTGTTAGCCCAAGCGTGTCTGTTACCCCGTTCGGTTCCGCCGATGGCGCGCAGCTTGTGCCGGTCCTCGTTGTGCCGCGTGCGTCGTATTGAAGGGCCTCGGTGGGCAATGGCACGTTGGCGCTAGCACACGCTCTGAGCATCACCGAGACAGGGGCAGGGAAGGGCGAGGGTGGAGAAAGGGCAAGGGACAAGTGGAGCGTGCCCGCAAGTGGTGGCCCCAGCCTCCGAGCTCCACGCCAGGATGCAGAACGCCTGCTCCTCTTCCGTTTATACTCACCATCCTCCACCTCCCATCGACCTAAAAGTCTTGGGAGCTCTGTCCAGCATCGACGCCAGCACCTCCTCGGGCACAGCCCTGCCGAGTCGGGCCTGACCCAGATTCCTTTGGCCTAGCTTGGTGCTTCGCCAGGCTCGACCCAGCTCACAGCCCCCCAATCGGGCTGAGTATCTCGGGCGGGGCCAGGACCGCACAGTCCGCCCGCACAGGCAGGGTGGACCACCCTCCCAAGGGTACCCTTTTGTATCCTTGCCTCCCCGGTCCATCATTGGCTACTTTCGTTGGCCGCGCCCCGCTCGAAAAGCCTCGAGATTGCCCTCCAAGGCCCTGGCATCCTCGTCGCGCATGAGGCGTTCCAGGGCGTGTGCCAGAGAGCTCTGAGCAGGCCGCGGCGCCTGGCACGCCCTCCAGGAAAACGCCACACCTCAGAGATCCCCCCGCTTTTATCCTTGTCCTGGCTTCGTCCCGGTGTTCAGGAGGACAAACACACTGACACATCGTCGATCCCCTGGTCAGTACAGTCGACCCGCATAGTCAGGACGGGCGGATGGGCAACCTTCCAAATGGTACCCTTGCATCCTTGCCTCCCCGGTTCATCCTTGGCCTCTTCCGTTGGCCGCGCCCCGCTCGAAAAGCTTTGAAATGGGCGTCCAAGGCCCTTGCGTCCTTGTCGCGCATCCTCATGATACGGGCCGACTGTACGGGAAAATGCGCGAAGAGAAGGGGAAGATGAAGCCCAAGAAAAAAGGAGACCTATGGGGACTCCGGACTGGTGTCTATTTGTTCGTGTGTCCCGGGGCCCCATTCACAGTAGCCTTCAGTCGTTCTCGCGAGCTGCCTCCCAGACGTTGCCTCCCAGCCCCCCCCCGGCCGCGGAGCACGGAGGCAGCAGCGGCAGCAGCAGGCCGCCCGCGCGTTTGCCTTCAGTCGGGCGTGTCCCTCTACAGGCGGAGTACCCAAAAATGGTCCACACATCATCTGGGTACGATTTTTTTGTGCTTGACAAATTTTGAACATTGTTTGCCTATTTTTCATTTGATCGCTTCGCTCCTTCCGCGGGCCCTGGAGCGCTAGTTATTTGGGGCCTCTTGGGGCCGTCTTGGGGGCCTCTTGGGGGCTTCTGGGGAGCGTCTTGATTTGCTATTTTTCTCTTGGGGGCTTCTTGGGGGCGTCTTGCTTGGCTATTTTCAATTTTTGTTCGTCCAGAGCCCGCCTGCAGGAGGGCCTGCCCGACCCGGCGCTGCGTCTCGGCGGCTGTCCAGCCTCGGGATGCCTTCCAGCACCTGCGCCTCGCCGAGAGCGTTCCGGGGGGGGTGCCCGCATCGCCCCGAACGGTCGCCGGAGGCCCGAGCTATGGCCCCCAAAATACGAGCAGGGGCCAGCCGAGACAACGCAGCCCTCCCTTGTGCTTTTCGCTCTTCCTGAGGCCCCGAGGGCGGCGACGGCCCCGAGCGCCCCAAGAGCGTCTACGGGGAGGAGCAGGCGCGCGGGCCCGGCGGGGCCGAGAGGGCGACGCCGGACCGCCGCGCCTCGGCCGCGCGCGGACGCGCGGACCCCCCCCCTCGCCCCCTCGAGCTCCTCCTCCTCCCCCTCCTCCTCCCCTCTCCTCCTCCTCCTCCTCCTCCTCTATCCTCCTCCTCCTCTCCTCCTCCTCCTCCTCCTCCTCCTCCTCCTCCTCCTCCTCCTCCTCCTCCTCCTCCTCCTCCTCCTCCTCCTCCTCCTCCTACATTTCTACATTTCTCGCTATGCAGCGTCTTGTCGCGCGCCCCGCGGGCGCGGAGCGCGCCGCAGCGGCCCTTCGGGGCCGTGCGGGCACTCGGACAGCGGCCCCGGGAACCCGACCCCGAGGAAAGCAGAGGGAACCAGGGACCAAGTTAAACCTCAGCGGAGGGAGAAGGGGGGCCGGGTTTCAGCAAAAAGAAAAAGGGGGGCCCGTCAGGGCCCACGGGCGGGCGCCGCGCGCGCCCGCGCCCGCGGGCGTCAGGCAGCGCGGCGCACGGCCAGGCCGTCGGCCTCTTTGTGGGCTGGCGGCTGCGTGGTGGCGGCTGGGCTCCCTTCGGCGCCTCGCGCTGAGCCCAGCCGCCGTGGGGTCTTCGGGTGGCTGGCTGCCCCCAGCTGCGGCGGCCTCCACCCTTCGGCGCAGCGCGCTGTGGAGGCTCGCCGAGCCGCTCGTGGGCTCCAGCATGTCTGCAGCGGCTGCTCTCGTCATCATGCCGATCAAGGCCGGCTGGCCTCGGCCCCTCGCATGCCACGCGAGGGCGACGGGGATACACCCTTCGGCGCCTGGCGCTGTGTATCCCTCGCCGAGGGGCACGCCGCCCCTTCTCATCGAGTAGTCCATGATGTGCTCGAGCCTGCAGTGCTGCTTGACACTGTGGTGCTCGAACTTGTATCCATCGTCCTAGCCGTGCTGGACGGGTTGGTACTCCTGCGCATTCCTGTCCAGTCGTGCTGGTCGTCCTGGTACTCACTAGCCGTAGTATCCGATGTCGTCGGTCATGCCGCCCCCGCCTCTGTAGTACAGGAGGGTGCTGATCTCGGGGGTTGTAGATGGCGGTCGTTTGTAGGGCTGAGTGTAGGGTGTGGAGCGTGCTGGTCAGGTCGTTGGGGGGTCGGATCGTTGCTGGTGTTGCGTTGGTTGTGGGCTTCCGAGGCCTCCATGCACCGACTTCAAGTGGGGGTCTTGGCTGTCCCACCTCGTCCCGCTATGGCTAGGGGTCACAGTGCCCTCGGTGGGGGCGAACCCCAGGCCTGGTACTTATTATCGTCGGAGTGGGATGTCTCGGCTGTCCTGTGCTTCGCCCCCGGGCGCTCGGGTAGCTCCTCCTTCTCCATGGGAATGGTGGGGGTGGCGAGCTAGGGCGGACCGCGGGGGCGCAGGTAGTGGCCGTCCTACCCCCCCCCTGCCCCTCACCATCCCCGCTGGTGGGCGCGGGAAGTACTCGTCCTTCCCCCCCGCCCTTCGAGCCCGTCTCGAAGTTTGATCCTCACCAGGACAGCGTTGACTTGACAAGAGGTGTGCGGGGTCGTGCTGGGTATGCTGTCGATGTCGGTCAGTAGTACGACGGCGACGTGTAGACCGCCCGCTGCCAGCCAGCTGGTGCCCTCCAAGTTGTAGGTAGCCAGTCGCCGCCAGGGTACTCACAGCAAAACGTGGCGACTTGTGCCTGGGGTGTTCCCTCGCATTCGGGGCTTCCCCAGGACTTGCGTCCTAACCAAGGCCAAACTTGGCGACGCTGCCTGAGGTCTTCCCACGCATTCGGGGCTTCCTCAGGACTTAAACCATGGCGCCGTAGTGCCTGTCTCCCAGGAAGCTCTTTGCCGCGAATATACTGCCGTGTACATGCTGCTCTTGTCCAGGTCGCTGGATAATCATAGAAGTAAATGCCAGGGTTGAAAGAAAGCCAATAAATCCAGAAAGTGCTCGAGGGGGGGGCACGCTCCGTCGCCATTGAGGGATCGTGCCCACCCGTATGGGCGCTACGGGTCCCCCCCCCTCGAGTATGGCACGCAATCGCTGTCCAAGACGAAGCCGCGCCAATAACCCAGTAGTAATGCGGGTCTTGAAACATACAGTAGATGCACTGATGCTGACGCGCCTGCTGCCACTCTGAAATATTACCCGACTGTACACCATCCTGTAATACCAACTGCCCTCCAATCTGTAAGATGCCAATAGTCTGTGCGCCAAACTGCAATCTGATGGTCCTTTCCAGGGACTGGCAAGTATGGATAATCCTGAAACAATTAAACCCGAATATCTGTGCAGGCAAACGTGGTGCCGCTGCAGTGTCAGCTGCTAGCGCCGTTGGATACCCCATGTCCTGTGACAGTCGTGGCCCAGCTGCTCTGGCTCGATGTAGTAGTCCAGGGGGGCGTAGAACCTGTGATAGCATTCATCCGTTTCGGCCCACATTGCCTCTTCGTCAGCAAGCTGTCCCCAGTGGGCTGCGAATGCAGTAGCCATTGCCTTGCACAGCATTGAAGGATATTCTTTGAGGGGGGCGGTCCTCCAGCCGCCTTGGCCGTCTCGTCCGTAAGCTCTGTCATGTCCGTTATGTCGGCATAGCTGTCCCCCAGGTACCGCCCCCAGCTCCTGTGTAAGTTCACTGAGGTGTACCGCCATCAGGCATGTTGGCTTTCGCGCGGCCTGCCCAAACTGGCACTGGTCTATGTAGTGCAGTTCGACGCTCGTCTGCTCCAAAAGCCAGAGCGTCTCTGCTCGCTGCCAGCTGCTCGGCGCTTGCGGGCACCAAGTGGCTGGAGCGGGATGCTCGAGTACAGCAGATACATTGTACTGCAAGCCAGTGGTGATGAGTAGTAGAGCTGTCCTGTATAGCTCGTTGGCTAGTGCTATCTGTTGACGCTCCGCTTGATTGGCTGCTTGTATGCCCCAGGGGAAGTCGTGCGTACGTAGTGGCCGTGGAGCTTTCCCCTCGGCGGCATGCCAGCGCGATGAACACCACGTCTCGCAGGGGGGGCCAGCGACAATGCCAAATATTTTGCCCTGACGTATCGCCGCGCACCAAAACTCGACGACGTCTGGCTTCGTCAGATCTCCTTTGTCGGGGTCTATCTGCACATCGATCGATAATACTACCAAGTTGCATTCCCGAATGTTCATCTCGAAGTGGTGCTGGAAATCCTCGGTTCGGCGTCTGCCTGAGAAAAGGTGCAGTAAGAACATAGCCGTAATAACCATGGGCCTGCACGGTGCGAATGCACTTGCAGGTGGCGTCGCTGGTCGAGGGTCCGCTGCCTTCCTCGTCGCCACAGCCTCTCGTTCCTCTTCTCGGCGTTCGGCTGCCTCCTGCAAATCCATTGGGACTTCAATTGCTTGGAGTACCGCCAGGCACCTGGGGCACCTTCTCAGGTGCTTGAGTATGCGCGATCGCGTTATGAAGTTCTTCCCACACCCAGGGCAGGTTGTCGAGCGGGCGAGCAATTCGGGGAGGTCGTAGCCGATGTGCTCCATGGTGCGATGGCGCTTCCATGCTCCCCGAGTTTTTAGGATCTTGCCACACTCATAGCATATGTAGCCACTGTGTTGTGCAGGCGGCAGTCCATCGAAGTTGGGCGTGGTCAGTCCAAACTCTTGCGCTAGTCGGTGCAACTGCCTTTGCAATATTCGATGTCGGTATAAGTCGTGCTGCCATGCCTTGTACCTGAGCCACGCCCGCGTGATCATGGCTTGTGCGGCTTGCACTTGCTGTGTTCGTAACCATCGTACCAAGCCCCTGATGTCGCAGCCAATGTCCTCGTCGTCTAGTAGGAGTCTTCTTATCCAGTCCAGATCCTCGACGATAAGTGCATTCCAGGCTTTACCATCCCCCCAGAGCTCGTCGATGAGGCGGTGGAGGAAGGGCGTGTCTGCATGCGCCATTCTGGCCAAGTACATCAGGCGCCGTCGGCGCAGGTACATGTGGATCGGTACTTCATCGCATATCAAGTATATTGCGAAGGCCTGACGGCCGGTGCCGCCGACCCTGTTCGCAATGCGCAGCAAGAGATTACGAGGTTGCTCAAGGTCGGCTTGGCTGGAGCCCAGGGGAAGAGGAGTCCCAGGGGGGGGCGTCGTATCTGACCCGGGGGGGGGGTCGCTACCCCCCCCCCCTCCCGGCGGGGGAGGGATCAAAGGGAAGGGGCTTCCCTTCGACTCAATTACGAGGTTGCTCAAGGTCGGCTTGGCTGGAGCCCAGGGGAAGAGGAGTCCCAGGGGGGGGCGTCGTATCTGACCCGGGGGGGGGGTCGACACCCCCCCCCCCCTCCCGGCGGGGGAGGGATCAAAGGGAAGGGGCTTCCCTTCGACTCAATTACGAGGTTGCTCAAGGTCGGCTTGGCTGGAGCCCAGGGGAAGAGGAGTCCCAGGGGGGGGCGTCGTATCTGACCCGGGGGGGGGGTCGCTACCCCCCCCCCCTCCCGGCGGGGGAGGGATCAAAGGGAAGGGGCTTCCCTTCGACTCAATTACGAGGTTGCTCAAGGTCGGCTTGGCTGGAGCCCAGGGGAAGAGGAGTCCCAGGGGGGGGGTCGTATCTGACCCGGGGGGGGAGAGCCCAGGGGAAGAGGAGTCCCAGGGGGGGGCGTCGTATCTGACCCGGGGGGGGGGTCGCACCCCCCCCCCCCTCCCGGCGGGGGAGGGATCAAAGGGAAGGGGCTTCCCTTCGACTCAATTACGAGGTTGCTCAAGGTCGGCTTGGCTGGAGCCCAGGGGTTGCTCAAGGTCGGCTTGGCTGGAGCCCAGGGGAAGAGGAGTCCCAGGGGGGGGCGTCGTATCTGACCCGGGGGGGGGGGTCGCTACCCCCCCCCCCCTCCCGGCGGGGGAGGGATCAAAGGGAAGGGGCTTCCCTTCGACTCAATTACGAGGTTGCTCAAGGTCGGCTTGGCTGGAGCCCAGGGGAAGAGGTCTCCCAGGGAAAGGGAAGGACAGAGACGACGAGTACAAAGAATGACGGAGATGACGGCTCGAACGGAAAAGCCCCTCA